TCACTCATTTCGAGATCTAGCCAACACATAAGGCATCACTCATTTCGAGATCTAGCCAACACATAAGGCATCACTCATTTCGAGATCTAGCCAACACATAAGGGCATCACTCATTTCGAGATCTAGCCAACACATAAGGCATCACTATTTCGAGATCTAGCCAACCAGACCAGGATCAAGGATACGCATGGTGGCCAGCCAGGTTTTAGGAAGGATGTTTTGGATAGGCAAAATATAATATTTTGTATAAACGCATCAATGCGCATACATAAAATAAACATCATCTATCGTCATGAAAGTTATAAAAAATATAATGCAATTACCTAGGTCAACAACGTCAGGTTATAGGAGGCAGAAGCCTCCTCATGTAAATCGGTCTCTGACGAATCTTCCGCCCATACGGTCAATTCGACTGAACTGGTAACTTACAATGACGTTCAAAGAATTGCCTCAATTGGTAATTCAGCCAACAATAACAAATCCGCCTCGGCCTGCTGACAACTAGGTTAAGGATTATGAAAGCAGTTCTTCTTATAAGGCTGTACAAATGACAGAATATAAGAATATACGGGAAACCGATCTCTCTTTAAAAAATAAATAAAAATTAACACCTACGGTAAAATGGTATCACAAAAAATGATATTTGTCGTCACACTGTTACGACTTTAGGGGTTTAAATCAAATTACATTCCTGATGTTCAACAAATCAACGTCAAAAATATTAGAAGGTTCAATTTTAAAATTATATTTACAAAACTGTGATTCAAATCTTATTTACCCATCGATCCTTCATTATGATGATCGATACAAAATACTCACATAGTGATGAGTAATACCCAACAAAAGAGAATAAGACCGAAAAGTGGGTACAAAGAAATCGCAAGGTACGGTAGACAAACATAACCGTTTTTTGATGTTTAGAATATAACTGAGCTGAAGAGAAAGCGTTTTGGATCGAGTATTCATACAAAATTGATATGTCATTACACTACTATGACTAATCAATTTTATTTGTGAACAGTAAACGTCTTAAAATATTGGCAGGTTAAAATTTATATTGACAACTTTGATTTGAATCTTACTTCGCCATATCTGTAACATATGGAATGTTTACCATGATCATTATAAAATGCTCTCTTCGCTTTTCGCGATGAGGAAAATAAAAAAAATACATAAATTGACCGAAAGGCATGTCTAAATATTCAAACTGTCTATCATGTGTCACGAAAGCAAGTTTTTCAATAGAGTCTTCTGGTAAGTACATTCATGGTTCGAAGTGTACAGACCTACAACCGATATTCAACCCAGTTTGACATCGATCTTTTCTGTTCATAAAATGACTGTGAGACACACTCACATCCACCTATTTCCGTTAGAATACTAATAAATTTAAATCTTCTGCATTTTCATACCTACTTCATTCCAATATTATAAATGTTTCGTAATTTTATAAATTCATAGTAATTAATTTTAATTTTATTCTTCCTGTCTCCCTAAGATATTTATGGAATATTATAGGTAGATAATTTTTTTTTTTTTTATTGTAAGCATAATTTATTAACAACTTTAATTTTTCTTTAAAATACTGTAATTTTTTTTTATAAAATGTTATAAATAAATATAGGAATTCCGTGAAAGTAGATGATATTAGGCAGCTGTAATAACGGGCTTTGCCTAATCTATTAATTTGGTGTGATTAAAGGTAAAGGATAATTATCTTAACCGTATTTGAATTTAAAGCGAAAATAAACGCAATGTCATCCCGTTCTTTTTCTCGACTAATAAAATAGAGCTCTGAATGGGGAAGAGGTATCTCTTAATATGCCATATTCCTCTAAATCTCGAATAATTTCCACATTTCCCCTGTACAATTTTATCAGGATTCTGTTAAATCTAATTTTTAGCTAGGTTGTTACCCGTACAACATGATTTGACAGAAGTAAATTATTTTGGACTCATTGATGATATTGTAGATTTCATTAATCGGTATTTATTTTAATAGGGGGCGTCAGATTTGAACACTCAATAAACTAACGATTAATAGACATATCGTTTTCGCTGAAAGTAACGCTAAGGCCGGGTATTTTTTTTTAAAGAAGATTAAACCGTATTAAAATATCAAATTGAGTTTAGCTGTCACCTACTACATAAAACCTAGCTCTAAAATGACACTATCGATTTCTACCATAGCTGTAATGCTTAGTTTGAGATAAACTTTTGACCCTCAATGCCCATAAACTGTACGTCAACTTGTTTACGTTTGCCAAGCATTAACAATTAAAACCAGCAATGCTTTCTCGAATTAAGAAACGATTGACAGTATAAAAAGATAGTAATAATGTTTGTTACCAACAATCACAGTTTTCGTACTACCTTCAACAGATGAACAATAGTTATTTCATTTATTTAGGGGTAGTTGTCATTTTGACGACGGTAGCAATTTTTCTCGAAGTGATTTGAGATGCAGTAATCATTCAATAACCTGAGCATTATTAAAAGTGCCACAAAAACTGGAATAATTTTATGGATTGTTACTAAATAACATAAGCTTAATTTTTGGGATTTCTTGATCGTTTAAGATACCATAAACGTGACTCATGTGAACTATTTTCGATTTTAGTTTACAAAACGTTTCAAAAACGAATACTTATTTAGTAAGTAATGGAGGGTAATACTCAGCAATTCAGATCGAATAAACTCATAAATACCAAAAATATAAGTAAATACCTGTGATATCGCATCCATTACCTCGGCGTCGGTAGTACTGCTCGGATCCTTTGAAAAAGCGTCCAACCGTTGAGGTACTGGAGAGCTCGTTGTAGTTGAATTTCTGACGTCATTCACATACCGAAACACGTTGCCAAACGTATGGATAAGCTCCTTCTTCACTTGTTTTTGGTTGAATGCAACAACCAGCTTGGCCATGTTTAACTCGTCCTCGTAACTACAGATGGCTTCATTCGAGATTCATGTGGAAGTACATCGTTTCGTGATATTTTCGTCACGTTGGCGCAACAATCCCAGTTCTGTTGCAGCAGTCTTAATGGAGTCTTAATGGAGGTCAAGAGACCCATTGCTTGTTACATAACGAAGGTTGTGCATCGAAGATCAGAAGTCTTTGGGGTTACACCGCTGTTGGGTTTGAACGCCATAATATTGTGCAGACTCCACGATGAATTGTTGAAGATAATGACGTCAGCAAACTGTGTCATAAATTAGTTTTGGACCAGATTTACTTTCGACATTAAAGTCCACTTTTAAAGGCTTCTGATTGGTTGGCCGCTCACCGAACTAAGCGCCGCACCCACCAGTTCCCATATATATAGCAACCAGAATTTGTGATAAACAAGTTTCGTAACATTTCGTGATCGTCACGAGAATCGACCACAGAGTCAAACGGAGTCATAGAAACGAGTGTCAAAGATTAATATTTATTATCAATAGGTTTAAAATGTTTAAAGTAATATGATAAACTCCTTTTAACAATAATAATAATAAATGATATGGAGTCATTATTATTATTAACCATTGAATAGTCGTTAATTTATAGATTGCAACATTAACAAATTAAATAAACCATTCGTATTAACGGCCTCGAACCAATTCGACTTTGACATTATTCAATGACAATGACAGCTGACACTAACACAATTTCTTTAATATTTATAATAAAGACTACAGACTATCAAATAGTCGTTAATTTGCAGATCCATTAATAATGGTAAATAAAATAAACCATATAACGGTTTTGAACTAATTTTACCCCGATATTACAAATGTTGATGAATGACAATAGCAGCTGATCAACACCATTCCTTAAACATAAATAATAAATGCTATGAATATACCAAGACTATCAATCCTTAATATTATTTATTATTATCTTGAATATATTTATTTACTCGAATTAAATATCAATTTTATATTTATGTAACAAAATAATCATTATATATGAGTTTGGCCCATATATAAATATATAATAGAAGCAAATAAATACTTACTTGAAATAAATACCAATCTTTATGTGTTTGTAAAAATATAATCATTATATATGAATTTGGTGTACCTCAAACACTAAAATCTATTTAGTGCTTAGCGTTTGGAAATACATTTACTAATAATGTAATGAAACGTAAATTTCTCGGAAATTAAGCGTATACATATATGTATTGTGATTAAAGAAAACAATTTGTAGTCATACATAATAGCAGATGTGCTTAGAAGTCTAAATAGATCATCATACAAAAATATGATCCTGTTACAACCTGTAAAGGAGGTATCAATAGAAGAATCACAATTAAAGTCTTTGGCAATTAGTAGTAGAAGTACAATTTTAATTTAATATTTTCTTAATATCAATTGACTTAACTTACTAAGATATTTATTTAATACATTCCATTTCCACTGAATAATATACGAGAAAGCTCCTCTCGTTCAGGCGAACCACATTTGCTCATAAATATTGCATAGGATTAAAATGGAATCATTTTATGAGAATTGTATTATCGGTTTAATTCGCTTGAACATTGAAAATTGAAAAGATTTAATACAAAAGTCTTTTAATCAGCACTATACCTTCATTTAGATTTGGTAATATGATCATTTAAAAAATGCGTTGATTGAATTGGCGATGTGTATTTAGGTTTTGTCCTCAACTACACTAGAACGTCAACCAAACGAAAGTATAGTTGTAAGAGATATTAATCCACTTTGAAGTTTATTATATTATATTTGAAAGCGCTCAACACGAGATTGTAACTTGAGATACTACTCTATGGACCTCAGAGTCTAAACGTAAGATTCACAGTCTGGACTTAGCTAAGTGTGACTCCATTCTGCCAAATCTGAAGTTTTCGACATACGGTAGTGTCTTAGTGCTAAGTTTCATCTCTGAATACAAAAGCCTTAAACTTGCGATGCGCTGCAATATGACGATCACTAAAGAAAATTTTAATATTTTCGATGACATGAGATGTATCTTTCAGTGATTTCAGCTATATATGGGCATACTAGGGCATATCTACTTCCCACACCACTGGACTTGTTATCCCACATACTTGATGAGGCGGGGGAGCAGTAGCGGCATATGCCTGTATTCTGCTGCCGTGAAGCCAATGGACCACCACGACCTTTCAGACACTCTCGACTGGTTTCTTCAACCACGCGGGATGCAGCCTGATGTATTAGAAAGAGGAGCCTATGACAAGGCACGTAGAATAGCTTCAAGCTGGCTTTGCGAGACTCAGGGGCCTTCTAAGACAAACTGCTGCGATCCTGAGTCAAGCAGTTGATGGACCCCATGTCTCTGCTCTTTTAGAGAGTCGTGATAGCATTGTCGCTGGACGGGGCGCGAAAAGACCTAGCTGTTATCCCTTCCTAGTGGCGAACAATAGGCCCTGGTGGTTTTAGTGGGTTTTATTTTACCATCTACCCAGACGCATAATCAGGTATCTCCAGGACATCAAAAAGGGATCTCTACTTACGTTTCTTTTGGACTAGCTTAATAAAAGAAATTAAGTTTAGTTTTCTAATCAATTTCTCTCTGCTCTAATGTACATAGTGTTAATTGCTGATTATAGAAATGTAAGCAAATCATTTATCACTTTAAAGCCTTAAAGCTTACGTAGCAGTAATCATGTCCTACTCAAGCATTCATTAAGCTTGCACCGGTTATAATTATCAATTAGTTCGCCTGACGTCACCGTTGACGTTTGACGCGACGTCATGACAGCCCGTGACAAATGAGAGGCTTCTATTGAAGAAAGATTTTAATACATAGCGCCGAAAATCCTTAAAAATATTATTCTAAGATTTAATTGTACTAGGAACATCTCGATAATGAGTATGAATGCTAGTTTGCGTGTATTTATTACATATTTTGTCTTTATCGGAAATATTGAAATATTTTTCATGTTCAAATAAAATATAGTAGATTTTGGGAGAGTCCTTATTTTGCTTTTACACATAAAACAATCCTTAATTATTCAATCAACATTCCAGGCACACCTGGGAGTAGGAAGCCTATATGAATATGCAATTTTAAATGTATTAAAACAATTAAAATAACAAAAACGACCGCTAACTTACACAAAGTTATGAACAATGACATACACAAAATATAATACTCATCTCTATATAAATAACTTTAATTGCATTTAACTTACATCTCTTCCATTGAGAAGCCAGGTAAGATTTGCAGGTGGATCGGCCGGTGGTGAGATACACTGTGCGCGTAAAGAGTCACCAGATGCGTACCAGCCTTTTTCTGCTTTTATCGAAGGCTTTTCAGGGGGAAGCTCTGTGGACAATGATATGTAATTAAATATAGCATTGTCTTTAATTGACATAACTTTTACACATAGACAAACACTTTTTTACCGGATTGAAGTTATGTATTATAAACAATTCGCGAAATTAGAAGACACCGTGAGCCATTTCTGCCAAAACCCTCCATCTTTTAGTCGATACCAACTCCAGGGAAATAAATACAGATAATACAACGTTTTTTACAGCTGTGATACTTTTTGACATTCAACACCTTTTGTCTTCAGTCACCGTGACCACGCACGCGAAACGTCGGTTAAATTTAAAATTATGTAAAATAATTGTAAATTTATAATACAAAACTTCAATCCGGTAAAAAAGTATTTTTCTATGTATGAACCAGTTCATACATAAAAGAATCATATTTAGTTCTCTCGCCCCAAAACTGCGTGAGAGTATCGGATTTATCGAAAGGAAGATTTTTGTTCTAAATGTATCCTATTTCTGCTCGTTACTATTCCATTACCTAATAATAACCGATTTGATAAACAATATCTCGTCAAATATTTGATGTTCAAAATGGAAATAGTTGTTTGCATTTTCGTACGATATTTGGGATGTAAGTCATTCAGACTTTAATGTAAGACGAATAAACGTTTCGAAAAGCTAGGTCAATGAATATTTGAAAAAAAAAATATATTGGCTTGTATTTATATCCATAAAAGTTAGATTTAAGTTAAAAATAGAAAGCGAAAAATCATATTTTTAAGGTATGGTTTTTATCTATACTGAGAAAATTACTTACTGAATTGGAGTGCGGTAGTGATTTAGTTTGAAACTTCACCTATTTTAGTCGCATGACACAGCTATATCGGCTTCCTTAGAGAATATTGTCAATATTGCTATTATATAAAGTGTTAGGGACAAAAAAGTTTATAATTCTGTAGCCAAAACCTTTAAAATTAGTTGCTTAGTCTTGGTCTTAGGTTTCTGTTAATGGTTCGTGATTTTTTATTGGCAAGTTGTTTATCAGCTTTCTGTGTCTAACACTCGCTGTCGACATTTAGGTGTAAAGCATATCTCACGTACGAGCGATATACTGCGTACGTAGATAGATGTGTCCTCTACTTCCTGATACCGTCCTGAAAGCCGCACGCTCAAGTACCAGTCCTGGAAGTCATAACCTATAGAATAAGCCTAAGAACCTTTATCTTAAAAATAATAAACTCTTTCGTGACTTATGAATATTGAGCGTTCAATCACACCAACATTTAACGCTCAAATTTTTTAATCCAATTTTTCGACCTCAATTTTCGAATGACCCCAAAATTGTCAGTGTTACTAAAATATCCCGAGGCAATTCTCAAAAGATTATTTTGACGGAATTCATTAAAAGGGTTGTGATAAATATGTTGTACTTCGCAATGAATTTTTATAAAATTTCTTGTCTTTGCTTATGTTTGCGATGTATAGAATCTTGGAAAAATATGTCCCCTGGAATTATACCGATGACAATAATGAATCACCCAAGAGTGTACTCTCTTATAAAAACAACATAACTCTAAACCATTTTCATGTGAGTCTCTTCAAACATATAAATACAATAAAAAATTATGTGTATTTACTAATTTGCTGTAAATTTTAAAAAACTTAACACAAAATGATTTATGATTTTATAATTTAAAATGAAGTCACGACAAAGATGGATGGAGAAATATGACGGAGTAAATATAGGATATTAAGATGGATTTTTACTAGTACGTAATAGAAAATAACATCCAACGATTTTGTAGTAAATGTAAATTTTATATTTAACATCTAATTTCGCGTTGCTATGTAAATAAAATACAAGTAACAGTCAAAGAGGTTTCTTTGACTTTCGCAAATCTACCCAAATCTCCATCTCTACCTTGCTAAGAAGAATCTTTTGATGGCTTTTAAATCGATCAACAAACTAATACGCTTCAATTAAAAATATATTTATTTGTATAATAAATAATAAATCAGTGGCGCTACAACCTCTTTAGGTCTTGGCCTCAGATTTCTGAATCTGTTTCATGATAATTTTTAAATCTAATAGAGGCAAGTTGGTGATCAACCTCCAGTGCCTGACACACGCTGTCGACTTTTTGGGTCTAAGACATGTCGGTTTCCTCACGATGTTTTCCTTCACCGTTCGAGCAAATGTTAAATGCGCACATAGAAAGAAAGTCTATTGGTGCACAGCCGGGGATCGAACCTACGACCTCAGGTATGAGAGTCGCACGCTGAAGCCACTAGGCCAACACTGCATTTGTATAAAACCTTGTCATAAATAATTTACAATTTCATCATTGTGATTAGATAAGTCACATTTAAAAACCAAGTCTTTTAAAATTGCTAACGTCTTAATCTTTCGCCGTGCTGAATTCTTTAGTCTAAAGGTCGATTTACATCAAACGAACATAGAGCTAGAGCTAAAACAAGAGCATTCTTTCGTAATCTTTTAGTGTAAACGAAAGCTAGAGGTATCGATTTACATCAAACGAACATAGAGCTAGAGCTAGAACACAAGAACGCTTTGAAAAGACCGCTCAGTGGCGCGAGCACGTCCGAACACGCTAGAACGCTCTAAGCAACTGTTCGCGCGCTCTTGCGCCGTTTACATCAAGCGAACGAGCATTCTTAGAATATTCTATAGAATCTTTGCGAACGCACTAAGAACAACGAAAGAATGCTCTACGCCTGTTTACACTAGAAGAATTTGATGTAGTGGGGATAGAATGAGCATTCGCTCGTTTGATGTAAATCGACCTTAAACAGAGTTAGACTAATTTTGTTTTTCCTATCATTTGTTTTCTTACCGTCTATTGCTTATTTGAAAGGCCGAACTTAATAAGCCCCAAACTGTGTAATCAAAATAAACAAACGTGACGAGCGACAGGCCCCGAAGCATTAACCCCAGTGCCCGCATGTGGGAACAGATTAACCGCCCCCAGAGCCGACTTTGGTAACTCTGACCTTCCTGTCTTAAATTACTTAAGTTTAATTGCTGGTCGTGTAATGTATGTTCGTGTAAGAGTTTTAAAATCTTTTTATATGTTAGAGTTGGGATAGGTAATGGTCGCGTTTTGGGTTATGTTTTTAAAAATAATATATGGTTTTTATGGAATATAAGATATAGGTATCATTATTCCAATCAATTTAAATCGGTAGACATCCCTTCTCATCGGCAAAGAAGACAGAGGATGTAGGCCGAGAAAAAGCCGGGGTAAAATCACAAATTATCATACAAAATGACTATGTCAAACAACACTTATTTTAAAACAATAAATCGCAAATTAATTAGAAGTCGCCTGTCAAATAAATACACAAGTTAATAATACTATTAACAAGTTTTAAAAATAAAAATATACGTTGTGAAAGCGATCTCTTCCAAGCAACTCTAAATAGACAATAAAAAAATTATACAAAAAGCTATTTTTTTAACTTAAAATGTTAGCAGTTTTTTAAATGTTGTGTTTCTTGAACTAAATACTAAACGGCACTTCCGAGAACTGAACGCCTTTGTCAAATTATGTCCTTAAGTAACGCTTATACTTAGAAGATTGTATATCTGTGCAAAGCTCCACAGACTACAACAGTAATTAGACTTCGAACTAAACCCTATTCCCGACAGATATAAAGCATAATTAATTATACGTTAGGGAAAAGCGGTACCTGATAGATGAGCATTATCAAAAACTTTTGGTAAGTTTTGCCTGATTTTTTGAATAGTAGCACGTATGACATACACATTTGTATATAATAGACTCTAAGCTTAGTGGCTTAAGCTTGCGACTCTGAAACTTGAGGTCGTGCGTTCAAATCACGGCAGTGTACCCCTAGATATTTCTATATAAGCTTAAATATAAATGATCGAAAAATGGATTCAAGGTTGTAACGACACTAGATTATTTATGAATTTTTTAAGCTGTATATAAACTAATGCAATATGTATATAATTAAATATAAAACAAGGTATGAGACGAAGACATTTGTCTGTGGTAAGCCAGTACTAGTGATCTGTGCATTTGACGATAGATAGTTTTTTTTATATAACTTTATGGCCTGGTAAACAGTACTAGTAAACCTGGTGTGTAGACAATTAGACATTAGTGTCTGTGGTTAGCCATAGGCACTACGTGAGTCTGTGCATTGTGTAGCAGACAAACTAATGCAATATGTATATAATTAAAATACTACATTTCTTAAGAGTACTGTGACAATTGACGACAGTACTGGTAAACCTGGTGTGCAGACAATTAGACATTAGTGTCTGTGGTTAGCCATAGGCACTACGTGAGTCTGTGCGATGTGTAGCAGACACATATATCATTATTTATACAGCGAACAACTAACTGAACAAACTAAGAATTCAAATTGTTAGATATTTTTTAACAAGAATCAAACAACCAAAAAGATTTCACTTACGCGATCAAAAATGAAACAAACATCTTGGATTTTATTAAAAGCCCATCCAACTAATATTATATTTGTTCAGTTGTAGCAAATTTCAATTTCTGTTCAGAAGCCGAAATAATATTTGCGATGAGACGAAGCATGTCTTGCTCGTTAAGCTACGATTTGTCAAGTATTGACTTTACCAGTTCGTTGCTTCAACGACTGTTTTATTTTTTCGTAGCCATTTCACCTTGGCAACGTTATGTTATATTTGTTATATGATTTAACGTAGTACTATTGCTTATCTTATATGTAGAGAATAGTTTATTTGTTTTTGAATGTTAATAAAGCTAAAGAAGATATATCTGCTCAGAGACGTTCATTACATTAACCCGTAACAGTTCTTGATTGTGGAAAACCTACAGAGTTTATTTTTTGGGTTGAACGTTCTAATAAAAAAACTAATGATTTGAATTGCTGAGATAGTATAATATATAGTATACTAGTGGACCCCACAGACGTTGTCCTGCATGATATTTAAAGCGATTAGGATATTAAGCAAAGTATGAAAGTACCGACTGCAGTGCCATCTGCCGGGCTGATTTGTGAATCTAAACCATTCCCAGATCCCCTTGAACACACACAAAAAATTTCATCAAAATCGGTCCAGTCGTTTGAGAGAATTTCAGTGACATACACACTCACAGAAGAATTATATATATAAAGATTATTACGATACGTATTGTAATATGTAACTTGATGTCATTTGAAATAATTTTTATAATGATGTTTTTATCTTTACCTTCTCTTTACTCTCTCTGTATTGGTAAGTTTATAATATATATTTATTTAATATTAAGTTTTTTTTACTTTTTCCTTTAATTAGGGTTGCCAGGTAGTGCTTAGTAGCGATATTATTAAATTGTGTGAATAATAAATGAAATGGTAATGGATAACGTAAATAACACTTAGAATGTACTCAGAATCCTCAATTAAATTGCAATTCTTTAATCATCGTCTCGAATTTTTAGTTATAAACGAGTGTTGCCATTGCATAAGTATTAATTATCACAATAATATTTTATAGACTGTAACACAACTTAGCTACAACGCCCGAATTGTAACGTTTTCCTGCTGAATTTTCTAGTTTAATCTAAGTCATCTAGCAAGAAAATAT